CTTCAAAAATATACGTCATCTTCAGTTAAATGCATCTTCAGTGAGATCATTTGACGACTATGACTACTGTATGGCATCCATAAGTAACGAAATGTATACACTGGTGGTTTCCCGTTGCCTTACACCGCATGTTTGTTTTTCTCGTGTGCCCAGGTTCTTACTCTTTCTACATTTTAATCTTCTTTGAAGTCAACCATAATTTAAATTTTTTTCTAGCTAAAAACTGATTTGAGAGTATCCAATTTAAAAAAGATTTAAAAATTTAGTGCCACCTTGGACTTTTGCCTAGGCTTTATTTAAGAATATTAATCTAAGCCATCTAAAAATATTTTTTGCACCGTCTCCTAGGAAAGTGATAGTTCATGAGCAAAAGCAGCTATACAAATTACACTTCAAAAACTTTTTGAAACAGAACTTTGCTGAATAATTACTTTACATAAACTCTAACCGCCTTAGTTGACCTAGTCCAAAGAATTGGCGCCAGCCCTGCAAGACGAAAAGTTATTGTTTTATGTTTGTTTTTCACTGATGTTTTAAACCATTAGATTTCAAAAGGAAACGCAGAATTTTAAAGTTTAAAGACTAATCGCAATCTATTGCCTGCCATAGTGAACCTTAACAATCTTTATAAAATTTTCAGCCTTATTAAGTGATTCTAAAAACACTTCCTTCTTCTAATTTTTAAAACTCTGAAAAGGTGGGATGGGCACTGTTTGATTCTCACCGCAGTTTATACGCATGCTGGTAATAACTGGTATGTCCCTGATGCTGGTATATTATAGTCTTTGTAGAGAAATGGAATGTGTTGCGGTGTTGGGAAAATATAATTTTTCATATTACGATGGGGATTTCGTCATTGTTTTGGATGAAGCAAAATTTGTGAGAAGTGAACCGAACTGTGAATCACCGCCATCAGTGTTTGTTCAAGGAAACCATTTCTACATTCCCTGAACATTGTTATCTGCAGTAGCCAACCGTGATAATGCCAGATCTCCTTGATTTTACCAGTCTGAAAATCACTTAGTTGTTAAAAGATTGTTCGTCACACTGGAGTAATGGCAGCTTGTAATGATCATATTTAATTTCAAACTAGCTTAAAATTTTTAGTCGTATCGTTTATATAATGTATTTCTTTGTAAATACCTTGTAGAACTTTTTTTGTACATTGTAATGTTAAATGCCTGTGCTGTACTAATAAATAACACTAGTAGCAGTATTGCAAAAAAAATTTTGTCAAATAATTGTTATGATAAAATTTTCCTCACTACATTTCTAAAATTAATATCCACATGCAGAATCACTGTACGATGCGCGGTATGGATTTAGATGAAGAAAAATCATTAAAGCAAAAATAATGATAGAGCAAATAAATATCAGTGGAAAGTTAATTGAGGTTTTTGTCATTCCCTTCCCTCTTTCTTCTTCCATAAAAAAGATCGGCAGACAATACAAACATTAGAGCTGATTATCCAATTTTAGTGACCTCAAAAATTTTTTTCCGCTCTCGCTTGTTCAGCTCGATATCTGCTTTTCCCATTGAGGAAGTGAAAGAGTTCGGTGAAGGCGAAAAATAAAAATCAAAGAAGGAAGGATAAAGATAAAATTTGTTCATGTGGGAGAGGGATTTTTTTTTGAGGAGGGAGGGGGAATCCGGAACGGATTGCAGTATATGCGGATAGTGTTGTTTGGCATCAAGAGACGGAGAAGGGGGATAAAACACTGGTATTTTAAATCGATCAAGTGTTTCCTTCCTTTGTTATTGTTGTTATTGTTGTTGTTGTTTCTGTTGTTGTTGTTGTTTCTGTTGTTGCTGTCGTTGTCGTTGTTGTTGTCGCTGTTATCGCTATCGCTGTTGTTGTTGTTGCTGCTGCTGTTGCCGCTTTTTTATTGATGTCGGTTTAAATTCCTTGAGAGAATGCTTTTTATGGAAGGCACACAAGAATGTGAGAAAAAAAAAGGAAGGATGGGGCCAAAAATTTGAGCCTATATGTTGTGGTATGTCCGTATTTGAGTGTGTGAGCTAGTGAGTGCGTGAGTGAATGTGTGTGTGTGTGTG